TGTTGTAGACCGTGTGGTCAAAGTGTAGAGATGTAGTCTTAGGTGTCTTTGTTGTTTTGTAGATTTCCTGTGAACCCTTCCCTTAGAAATAAAGATTTTTACATAGAAGAACGTGCCTCCTCTTCAGTGAAGCAAAGATCCATTGCAATCTCTGGATATTTTACTATTTTACCAATTTTTCCAACATATTCTGGTAGCAGATTTGGATGGTTTGGTTAAATGATTTTGCCTGCTATGCTTAAGTGAAGTAAGTTTCAAATGCTCACTTGATCAAGAGCGAAAGGTTAGGAGCTAATTAGCAGTTGAGAGGCTTGATTTTAAAATGACCTGGGTTTTTTCCTGCAAATTTTTCTTTACTCTCTCTACCACACAAAGCTGCAGCTGAGAAAGGGTGATTACTCTAATTCTTGCTTGATTAGAGAAATCTCATCTACGCTAGCTTGCACACCTTTTGAACCTTTTGAAGTTTTTTGCACGTTTTGGAATCCCAGCTACAGAGGAGAACAGGAGAAGCCGATTGCTTCCACTTGCTCTTGCTTCCTGCTCTGAAGAGGAGATTAACCCTGTGAGTGCCTGCTAAAGCCTGCAGATCAGAATGAGTGATCCAATAGGGCTGCCAAGCCGCGGCGGGGGATCCGCACGTCTTCACAGGATCCCTGCCGCGGGGGACAGCAATACGCGTTGCACCGCCGTCGCCAGGATGTGACGCTACGCGTCGCTCTGGCAACGGGGCGGTTTGGAGTCCCGTTGCCAGAACGACGCATAGCGTCACATCCTGGCAACGGTGGCGCAACGCGTATCGCTGTCCCCCGCGACAGGGATCCTGTGAAGATGTGCGGATCCCCCACCGCGGTTTGGTAGCCCTATAATCCAAGCACGTCTTCTGAATCTACTACAGATGTGAGTATGTTCCGAGCTGGAGCTCTCAACCCAGGGGGGTTAGGTTCACTCAAGTTGACCCAGCATAATTTTAATTGGTGGCTCAGCTCCCTAAAGAATAGACCGCAAATATATGTGGCTGAAGATATTATAACAAAGGAAGTCCCTACAAGTGAGCCAGAGAAAAGTGCCTTCAGAAGACTAGATGGCTATGCCAAGTCCTTGATTATGGGTTCAGTTAATTGCCATTATGTGCCTAGCCTGCATATAATAGAAACTTCCAAACTGATGATTGAACACCTGCAAGACAAGTATGGAGGGGAGATGACCAGTAAGATTTATTACTTGAAGGCTCAGATCTTTGACTTTAGAGTAAAGGAAAGTGACTCTTTACCTGATCAATTAAAGAAGCTAATGGGGACTTACAATCAGTTGAAAGAACTTGGGAAGACTCCTGACCAGTTAGACATTATTGCTGCTATACTGAACGACTCCCTACAAGTTACAGAGGACTAGCAATGTCTTTAAGACACCAAAAGGATCTAATGCTTGATGGTTTGTTGATAGTTTTAAAGGAAGAATATGACTCCAGAACTAGTCAGGCTGCTTTGTCTAATGAGACGTCTGTTTTGAGTTTGAAACATGCACACAGATTAAAAAGGTAAAAGAAAACGGAATGTTTTATATGTGGTGAAAATCATCTGGCCAGAGACTGTGAATTTAAAAATGCCAGAAATTGTGAATTTAAAAGGGATATCAGACAAAAGTCCACTGGTGCATGTGTTCAGACTTAAAGAGCAACACCTGGTGGAAGAGGAAATTATAGCAACCACAAAGGTTTTAAACCTCAGACAAAGGAAAATCCCAATGCAGCCAATGTTAAGAGAAATGCTCAGAGGAATGAAAATAGTGGTTATGTGGTGATGATGATGAAAATAAGAGAGTGTTTTTGGTAGACTCTGGATCCTGTACACACATATGCAAATATAAGGATTTGTTTTGTGAACTTGATACTAACAATAGACTTGAAGTGTGCCAAGCTAATAAGGAACCTCTTAATGTAGAGGGCATTGGAACAGTGCCAATCAAGCTCCTCACTACAACTGGAGAAGTGATGGATGTTAAATTAAATGATGTGGCGCTGATTCCTGAAGCAGCTGATAATTTGATTTCAACCAAAAGACTTATGGAGAGTAATCATAAAGCATTGCTTAAGAGAAGGAAAGGAAGTAACATTGTTGCTGAAATGTCTGGAATTGAATCTGAAGTGGAGGAGAGAAATGGATTTCATTATCTTGTGGATGTTAGTGGAGACTCAGAAGTTGTTGATGCTGATAAGAGACAAGTTTATCAAACTGGCAATGACTCTTGTAGGCATCGGAATTGCTTGTATGCATGGCATTTGAAGTTTTCGCATCGTGGGATGCAGAGTGTTGAAAAGTTATTAAAAGAATGTGGAATTTCTGCTGTAAGTTGTGACAAGGCAAAGGAGAGATGTGACACGTCTCAAAGCAAAAGGACCTGCTCCAAAGTACACTGGCAAGTCCACTACTCACAATGAGACATTCCTAGAGACTGTGTATAGTGATCTTGTTGGCCCACTAGTGCCATCCTGTGGCGAGAACAAATACTTTGTGACTTTTACTGAAAGCAAAACAAAACATACTTTTGTATATATGATGGAGAGCAAGGATGAGACGCTCAATAAATTCAAATGCTATGTGGCCACAATTAAAAACAAGTTTGGCCAAGCAACCCAAAGCTTATGCACCAATGGGGGTGAATATTGCAATGCAGAATTTAAAAGATTTCTAGAACTTGAAGGGATTTCACACAAAGTGTCTATCCCGCACTCGGCTCAACACAATGGCTCTTCTGAAAAGCTGAACAGAACAATCCAGGACATGTGTAGGGCAATGCTTATGCATTCTGGACTACCAAATAGCCTATGGGGTGAGGCTGTCAACACAGCAGTGTATTTGCACAATAGAGTACCCTCAAAGGTATCTCAGGCCAGTTACGCTATCTCATCCTAACCTACCTCACAGGGTGGTTGTTATGAGGTTAGTGAACATTGCGGAACTTACCCACTTACTCTGGTCATACTTGGCGGCCTGAGTTTGGTTGCCCCCGCCATCTGAGGCTAGGTGGGTGGCGATCCAAGAAAGGGCCTTCTCGGTCATGGCGCCAAAACTTTGGGACTCCCTCCCTGGGGAGATTCGTCTGTCTCCCTCTATCCGTGTCATTGGCCTGAACGTGAAGACTTTTTTGTTTCATTTGGCCCAAATAATGACTACTGGCTCTCTTTCCAGAGTCGTTATTTATGTGTTTTAATTGAATTATTGTATAACTGTAACTGTATATTTGTTTTAATTTTTTTAATGTTCAGTGCCTTGTGGACCCTGATTGGTTGGAAAGGTGGCATAAAATGCTTTAAGCAAATAAATAAAATGCAGGAAGTAAGACTGATGTAAGCTGCCTTTAGGTCATGGTTGAGGAGATGAGGAGGGTATAAATATCCTGATAAACACATATGATCTTCAAACCAGGAGGCGGCCTGGCACTGTGGGGGGTCTGGGGTCTTCCTCAGATTTTGCTCTTGTTTTCCCCCTCCCCCTTGGTGGAGGGAAGGAAGGTTAATTAAAACAGAGTTGGAGGCAACGTTGCTGGGAGACTGGGAGGATGGACAGTGTGTGAGTGGGGGGGGGAGCATGGTTCAGTGGCAGAGCCTCTGCTTTGTATGCCGAAGGTCCCAGGTTCAATCCCCGACATCTCCAGTTGAAAGGACCAGGCTGTAGATGATGGGAAAGACCTCTGCCTGGAACCCTGGAGAGTGTCTGCCAGTCTGAGTAGACAATACCGACCTCAATAGACTGACAGTCTGATACATATGTTCATGTGAGAAGGGTTACCAGTTCCCCCCTGGACACCGGCAGGGGATGGGTGGGTACGGTGGGGTACAATTCTATAGAGTCCATCCTCCAAAGCCAGTTTGGTGCAGTCATTAGGAGCTGGGACTCTAATCTGGGAGAACCGGGTTTGATCCCCCGCTCCTCCAACGTGCAGCTGCTGGTGTGACCTTGGGTCAGTCACAAGTTCTCTCAGAGTTCTCTCAGCCCCACCTACCTCACTGGGTGTCTGTTGTGGGGAGGGGAGGGGAAGGGAAGGGAAAGGAGATGGTCAGCCGCTCTGAGACTCCCTCGGGCAGTGTTCCCTCTAAACTGAGTTAGTGTGAGCTTGCTCACAGTTCTTTAGCCTCCGGCTCACAGATTTTTGCCTTAGCCCAGGAAGGATGGCTCCAGAGCAAACTAATTTATGCAGCAGCCAAATCGCTAACTCACAACTTTAATGCCAGCAGCTCACAAAGTAGAGCTTTTGCTCACAAGACTGCACAGCTTAGAGGGAACATTGCCCTCGGGTAGTAAAGGACGGGGTATAAACCCAATCCCTCTTCATCCATTTCTCTCTAGGGGAACTGATCTCTGTAGCCTGGAGATGAGCTGTCATTCCGGGGGATCCCCAGGTCCCACCTGGAGGCTGGCATCTGTGAGTGCGATGACACCAATAGCCCACCAACCAGGTTGATGTCCTCCTCCTCCATGCACTGGCCGGCGCAGGTTGGAGCGAGGGCTCCCCAGCTGCACGGCCCCTGCCCCGCCAATCCCCACCGAGCGACTGCCGCAAACTCTACCCCCCTCCTACCACCCCTGCGGGCCGGGCCGGGCTGGCTTCCTCGTCCTCCTGCCCGCTGCATTAACTTGTCTAGAGGGCAGGAGGGGGAAACTGCAAAGTGCAGGCGCCGCTTGCCTGCTGGCAGATCTGCCTGCCTGCCTGCCTGCCTTGCCTGCCTGCCTCTTAATCCTGTATGTAAATGGCAGCCAATGGATGCGGCTCTTGAGCGGGGCTGGGATTAGAGCCGGGGCGAATGGCTGGCAATCTTACTGGGATTATAGAACAAAGAGCCTCCCCCCCCTCCCCCTCGGTTTGTCTGCAGCCCCCGGGAGCAGGGGGTGGCTGCATGGGGCCCCCCTGTCTGGCCCGGCGCCCCCCTCCCTTCAGCATCCATCCCCCCTAAACGGCCAGGGTGGGAATTACCCCCCCCCTCAATCCCCCCTTCCTCCTCCTCCTCCTTGTTCTCTCCTTCCTTCCTTCCTTCTCCTCCTCCTCCTCCTCCTCGCAGATTAATTCAAGCCTGCAATCCGGGCGGAGCTGGAAGAGATCCCATCCCTGCGGTAAGAGAAACTTTCCACCACCCCTTTCTTTAAACCCCCCCTCGGGGGGGGGGAATCCCAGATTTCAAAGAGGGGGGGAATGAAACATCCCCCCCCCGCAATCGCACCGTTGCATCATAAGTCTTTTGATTTATATTATTCAGTGTGGCTTCTTCTTCTTTTTCTTTTTTTGCAGGTTGCAGATGTGATGCGGGCGGGGGGGGGGAGAGATGTTGGGATTATGCGAAATTAAAGAAATGGTGGGTGATAGGGGGAAAGGAGCTCTTTTTGGGAGGGGGGTCTTCCGACTGGGAGGTGGCCTGTTAGGACCTCATTGATAAATCTGTATGCCACGATCTAGATATGGGGGGGGGGGATTTGTTCTGGTTCTTGCATGGATTTTGCAGTATTTTTCTCTCTTGCTTCTCTCCCCCCCCCCTTTTGGCAGAGGGGAAGGCAGTTTAATTCAAGTTGCTTGTTGGTAGGCTGGGAGGGTGTATAATTACATGGACATCTATATTTTTCTTCACTGCTGCAGTTGGGCAGTGAGGGCAGTGAGAGAGAGAGAGCCTGGCAGAGGGAAGTGAGTTGATCATTTACTAAATCTCTCCCTTTCCCTCTCTTTTGCTTTCTTATTTCTCTCTCTTTCTCTCTCCCCCCCCCCACTGCAATGACACTTCCTTGCTTTCAAACACTTTCTCTTTTCCTCTGCAATCCGCCCCGTACAGCTTTTCAGCAACACCCCCCACCCCAATAATTTAATCTTTTTAGTGCTTCCTGCAAATCACAGGTTTGTCCATTAACGTGAAGTTTTTTGGTGTGGATTTGTTATGAATCGCGATGACGACGACGACGATTTTCACCGGATTATTTCTGTACATGCCCAGCTTCTTCTTCTTCTTTTTTTAAAACCCTTAACGGGCGAGTTGTGTTTATTGTTAGGAGGATCCACTGTGTGTACGAATGCAAAATAAGAGGACTCGAACCTTCCTAGAAGTCACTAAACATGTCCCCACCCACATGTGGGGCCTGTCTTTGCTGTAGATCCAGAACGAGTGAAGGGCACTCTGTGCATGCTTAGAGGCTTTCTTCTCTGGAGGGTGGTCGTAGATGGAGGGTTCTGTGGATCAGCTTTGGATAAGTCTTGGCTTGGATGAAGCACTGTCAGCCTCCTCCGCCCCAAGTTGGGTTTTTTTTGGTGCAGAATGGTCTTGGTTTAGCCACAGAATTCTACTTTATGCAGAGGATAACGGTGCTGTTTTTTAAAAAAACGAGTGGCACTTTAAATGCTGAGAAGATTGTGCCATGGGGTGCATGCGTGCCGACTGTTCTTGCATGTGAAAGCCTCTGTTTTTCCAAAAAAAAAGGGAAAAGGATGTTATGGCTCTGTTATAGAGCATCCCTGCCTCCCCATCTCTAAATTGGCATTGGCGTGGGCCCCACAGTGCCGCGTGGGCTGCACTGTTTGGGGTTTGTGATGCTTTAGCGAGAAGAGGAGGCTTTTAAAAAAACAAAACGCATTTATCCATGCGTACGGAGAGGCGGCGGGTGGGGGGGGGAGAAGAGTGGAACCACAGAGGCATGTTTAAAAATAGAAACAAGTGGTTTAACCGGCAAGGCACTCCCTCACTTTTTTGGACAAAACCACTAACCAGACGCAGAGCAATGCCTCCCTCATGCCGTCCCTTGACTGGTGTAGTCTTCATGGAAAGGAGGGAGTTTTCGCTCTGCAAGAGGTGTTGGGGGGAGAGAATCACTTGATGGGAGATTGTGGTGCCTAGCAAGTCGAACCTAGCAAGGCATTTGGGCAGGGAGAGCTAGGCATAGAAAAGTTTCTGTGGGATTCCTTGTGGCATGTCAAATGCGCCTGCACGTTTCAAGCACTGGTGCGGCCTGGGATGGAAGTTTTAAATTCCCCTTTGCGTTATGATGGGTAATGGATCTGGCTCAGGAGGCCAGAGGGTTCGTTACCTTCCTCCGTGGCAAGTAGGGTGAATATTTCACCTTTGTGTTCTCTGTCAGGGGAGAGTGAACCCACTGTTAGGAGTCTTGGATCAGAGAGTGGTTCTCGTCTCTGCCGTGAACTCACTGGGTGAGTCGCTTTTGTTCCACCCTGTAAAATGGGAACAATAAAACCTTTTTTTTAAAATAAATAAATAAATATATATATATACATATTGTGCAGCACCTAAACTTTTAATGTACTTTAAACATCATGCCTCGGCGTCTAGTCATGCCGGCCACATGACCACGGAACCGTCCTCGGACGGCGCTGGCTCTTCGGCTTGGAAACGGGGATGAGCACCGCATCCCTAGTGTCGGATTCGACTGGCTTTTGAGGAAGGGAAACCTTTACCTCCCTAATCCTAGTCCACTGTGGATATGTCTCTCTAGTATATATTTGTCCCCCCCCCCTTTCGGGGAGCTCAGCAGTGTGCGTGCTTCCTCATTTTATCGTCACAGGAACCCTGCGAGGTAGGTTAAGCTGAAAGGGAGTACAAGACCCAAGATCAGGCAGCTGGCTTGGTGGCATTATCTATCTAGTTAACTTATACCATGCTTTTCTCCCCAATGAGTGTCACTATGAGATCCTACTAGAGAGTTTGTCAAATGGATTAATATTGTATTTCAATGCTACCCACTTTGATAACGTTATACACGAAACGAGATATAACATGCATGGTTCGTTGGTGTTGATGGCGTTTGAATTGCTTCCAGTAAACTGAAATTTCTAGTCTTTGGAGATGTTTTTGGCATAATACATCATGGTTGTTTTCTTCTTCTCAGCTTTCAAGAAGAGGCTGGGCAAATATTTGTCAGAGATGCTTTAGGCTGGTCTTGCATTGGGCAGGGGGTTGGACTAGATGGTCTGTATGGCCCCTTCCAGCTCTATGGTTCTGTGATTCTATAAGATGGATATTAAAGCATTTTTGCAAGTGAAATGTTCTATATAATATATAAATAACAGGGAGCAGCAATGGATTTATGGTGTCAACATCAAAGTTTCTCTCTGTGTACGTAGCAAACCTGGGGAAGGTTGCATGTTATACAAGCAGAAGAAGAGGTTGGATTTATACCCCGCCCTTCACTACCCAAAGGCGTCTCAGAGCGGCTTACAATCCCTTTCCCTTCCCTTCCCCACAACAGACACCCTGTGGGGTAGGTGGGGCTGAGAGAGCTCTTTCGAGAACTGCCCTTGAGAGAACAGCTCTGAGAGAACTTGTGACTGACCCAAGGTCACACCAGCAGCTGCAAGTGGAGGAGTGGGCAACCAAACTCAGCTCTCCCAGATCAGAGTCTGCACACTCAACCACTGCACCAAACTGGCTCTCAAGGGGAACTGAAGCGGAGAAAGCGTGTTGCCTGCAATGTTCCCTCTAAGCTGAGTTAGTGTGAGCTAGCTCATAGTTTTTTAGCCTCTGGCTCACACATTTTTGTCTTAGCTCAGAAAGGATGGGGCTCCAGAACAAATTAATTTATGCAGTAGCCAAATTCCTCGCTCACAACTTTAATGCCAGTAGCTCACAAAGTAGAATTTTTGCTCACAAGACTTCACAGCTTAGAGTTGGTTGCCTGGTGTTCCCTGACGGCGATAGCGTTTCCACTGGACCAGGCTGTCTCCCCATTGATACATAGGGTTGGATCCTGCTAGCTATTCCACAGATGACAGGAGGTAGCAGAGGCCTTTCTGCGTCTGTAACGACTGTGCCAGGGATCGTGGGTCCAGTGTGGGCAATATCCACATGGGGGTCGGGACTGAATGGCAAAAGCTGGTAGGATCCAACCTGATTGGCTTTTTTTTACAGTTGTTGGTTGCTGTGAAACGATCACTGACTTCAACAGCCCTACCAATACCCACCAGTGGCATCATATTACACAAATGAGTTCTTCCTCCACTCCTCTATGTTTTATATTCTTCCCCCCTCCCCTATCTTCCGTGAGGGAGTATGGATTGTGTTCCAGCCAGCCACCTACTTCGTGGGACAGACATATGAGGTCATCTAATTTCATTGTTTTATAGGTATTTTGTTACCATGCAGTTATTATGATGATTTTATGTATATTGTGTTGTACGCCACCCAGAGTCCTGCTTGCAGGAAATGGCGTGGGATAGAAATCAAATAAACATAACAAACGTAGATGTAACACACTAAAAGCTCTCTGTCACCTCCCTGCCTGCATGTGCCACCACCAGTCCAGCTGCTGGCTGAAGTGTTGCAGTGTCATGGAATACTCACAAACATTCCGGCTGAGTCTGTCAGCTAATAGTACTGACTTTTTTGGGGGGGGACAGAAGTGCAAGGTTGGCTGAGAGAGCAGGATATAGAATGATTTCTCTGTCCTTTCACACAAGATTTCTCGAGCGTTGTCGTTCTTGTCTGTGCAACATGCCCTGTTCCCGCGCATAATGATCTATAGTTATTGCATGCTGGACTGGCCATAGTTTGCTGACAGAATTCTCAGGGTTGTCTATATTGACTAGACCTGGAAATGGGTTTATGTAGAGGTTTATGTAGAGCTCCTAGCCTATCAAGAGTTAAGATTGAGATCCAAGCAGAATCTATCAACAGAAGAGAGGTGACAGTTTAACCCAAGCCAAGTCTTCAGGTAATCTAGTCTCATCCAGTGTTTCCTCTAAGCTGAGTTAGTGTGAGCTAGCTCACAGTTTTTTAGCCTCCAGCTCACACATTTATGTCTCAGCTCAGGAAGGAGGGCTCCAGAGCAAACTAATTTATGCAGTAGCCAAACTGCTCGCTCACAACTTTAATGCCGACAGCTCACAAAGTAGAATTTTTGCTCACAAGACTCCACAGCATAGAGGGAGCATCTCTCATCTGAACTCTGGTCCGTCTGAAATCTCTTCTCCTGGAGCTGTCTTGAGGTCCTCCCTAATTAGGTTTGCCAGGTGGGATGGTTGCACCAACACTGTCGTGCAATGTGCTGACGTCACCCGGAAGTGACGTCATCATGTCTGTGATGTTGGGGGTGACGCTCTGGTCTTTAGGCAAAACTCTATGGTA